TAACAGCACACTATTTCCCTTAGCAGTCAGAAAAGAGCTCTCCTGGGGGTTCCTACGGGAAATACAGAAAACACCGCCTCATTCCGGTGCTTCCCTGTCCAGGTCTCCCGGTTTCTACCAGCCATGGGCCTTTCGGGGCCGGAGGCGGCAGCCCTGGAGGCTTGGTCGGTTGCTATGAACTCAGGGGCAGCAGTTTATCTTGTAAGCTTTCTGTGTTCAGATGTGATATAGTAGGCAGTGGAATACTGTAGTATCCTGGCCCGACTGGATTCCATTCCGTCCTGAAGGAAGGAAGGAAGGAAGGAAGGAAGGAAGGAAGGGAAGTGCAAAGATCTGAGAAGGGAAGGATTGGAAGTTCGGCGAGGGTTTAGGGCTTGGAGTGTTCCGCATTGCCCAGAAATGCTACGAAGATTCTGAGCATGGGTGACGTAGACGCACAGAACTTCTGAAGAAGAACCTATAAACACAACATGTACTTATGGGGACATATAGGTATGTATGTCTGTCTGTATGTCTGTATGTATGTATGTGTGTATGTATATGTGTATAATGTATCACAGTACTGTACTGATTGTGGGCTGTGTTGTATGAATCGCATAGTGCATTGCAAGCCCGAGAAGCAGTGAAGATACACGACTTAAAATCCATGTGATCTTGCATATAAAATCTGCTAGCACAAATAATAGAATGTGCTGTCATGTAGCATTAGTTTCATTTAATATAATATACATACCATAACGCAAGATAACCTAACACGATATAGCATGCAGAGTGTGGAGTACAGTAAGGTAGAGTACAGTAGAACACAACAGAATATAGCATGACACAACCAGACTAAAACTAGTATATCACGCTTCAATACAAGATGCCATAGTACAGCAAAACAAAGTAACACAGTATTTCAGCCTACTAAAAATATTTGATAAGATAAGATGTCACAATGTGATACAAAATCTCCTGATCGATTGTAGCACGGTAGGGTTTATCAGTTATCATAGTGTAGTAAAAAGTTCAACATAGTACACCGTTGTAGCAAACCAAAGTACAGGAAACGCTTGACTTCTCAGATTTCGTAATATAAATCAGTATAGCACAACATAATATTATTGTGATGTGATTGAGAGAAAATGAGATAACAGAATAAAGCAGAAAACGACAGAAGACTAGTATGTAATGTAGAGTAAAGTCAGGTAATGTCATGCAATAAGAAATTGTGACCAGGCCAGCCACGCATCATCAGCATCATATGTTCCAACGTGTTGTTTGGAAAGGTTGGAACGACCAGGCCAGCCGCCTCATTAGCTCCATTTACTCCGAGGTTTTTTCTTGGAAATGTTCCAACGACCAGGCCAGCCGCGCATCATCAGCATCATATGTTCCAACGTGTTGTTTGGAAAGGTTGGAACAACCCGGCCAGCCACACATCATCAGCATCATTTGCTCTAAGGTTTCTCTGGCTAAGGTAGCAAAGACGAGGCCAGCCACGCATTATCAGCATAATTTGCTGCAAGGCGATTTTTGGCAAAGGTTGCAAAGACCAGGCAACCCACGCCTCATCAGCATCATTTGCTTAGTTGTCAAAGTCATACAGATAGATAGATACAAAGATAGATAGAAAGATAGACAGACAGATAGGTAGATAGATAGATAGATAGATACATAGACAGACAAATAAATAGATCGATCAATGTCTCTCTCCCTTCGTCTCTCTGCTCTTGCATGTGTTGACTCCGTCTGCATTTCTTGCATGAGAGCGAGTTCCTAATACATTAAGGTTTAGGGTTTAGGGTTTTCGTAAATAAATAACCATAAGACTCCACGAACCCAAGGCTTCTTGGGGAAAGGTTGCAACAACCAGGCCAGCCACGCATCATTTGCTGCAGGGTGTTCTGTGGGAATGGTTGCAAAGACCAGGGCAGCCACGCATCATCAGCATCATTCAGCATCATTTGCTCCAAGGTCTCTTTGAGAAAGGTTGCAAACGCCAGGGCAGCCACGCATCATCAGCATCATTTGCCCAAAGGTTTCTGGGAAATGTTGCAAAGATCAGGCCAGCCACGTATCATCAGCAAGATTCTCTCGCAGGGAAGGTTGCCAAGACCAGGCCAGTCACGCACAATGATGATGATGATGATGATCAAAATCATGATGCGCGACTTGGCTTGGCCTTGAAGGCTTTCCAGAAAGACCTTGCGTGGCTTTGGCCCGGTCTTCGAGAGCATATGATACTCATGATGATTGTGTGGCCTGGTCGTTGCAACCTTTCCAAGAAAATCCTTGGTGATGATGATGCTTGACTGGCCTGGTCTTTGCAACCTTTCCTGGAAACGCATGATGCTGATGATACGTGGCTGGCGTGGTCTTGCAACCTTTCCCGAAAAACCGTGGAGAAAATGATGCTCATGATGCGTGGCTGGCCTGGCAACCTGTCTGAAAAAAAAATCGGAGCAAAAACAGCTGATGATGCGTGGCTGGCCTGGTCGTTGCACATTCCAAGACAAAAACCTTGGAGCAAATGATGATATCGATCAGCAGCATCATCATTTGCTCCACCTTTTTTTCATGAAAGGTTGCAACGACCAGGCCAGCGACGCATCATGAGCATCATTTGCTCCGAGGTGCCTTTCGGGAAAGGTTGCAAAGACCAGGCCAGCCATGTATCATCAGCATCAGTTGCTCCACCGTTGGTTGGGACAGCTTTCGAAGATCATGCCGGCCACGCATCATTAGCATCAGTGGCTCCAAGATTGTTCTGGGAAAGAATGCAACGAGAAGGCCACACCCGCATCATGAGCATCATTTGCTCCCAGGTCTCCTGGCGAAATGTTGCAAAGACCAGGCCAGCCACGCATCATCAGCATCATTTGCTCCGAGGTGTCTCGGGGAAAGGTTGCAAAGACCAGGCCAGCCATGCGTCATCAGCATCATGTGCTCCAAGGTTTCTTTGAGACGACCAGGCCAGCAACGCATCATCAGCATCATTTGCTCCGTGGTTTTTGGGGGAAGGGTTGCTAAACACCAGACCAGCCGCGCATCATCAGCATCATTTGCTCCAAGGTTTTTTGGGGAGCGGTTGAAAAGTCCCGGCCAGCCACGCATCATGAGCATCATTTGCTCCACAGTTTTTGCGGGGAAGGCTGCAAAGAACAGGCCAGCCATGCGTCATCAGCATCATTTGCTTCAAGGTGTGTGTTGTTTCTGGATAGGGTTGGACTGACCCATCCACGCATCATGAGCATCATATGCTCCAAGGTTTCTTGGAAAAACGTTGCAAAGACCAGGGCAGCCGCGCATCATGAGCATCATTTGCTCCAAGGTTTCTTTGAGAAAGGTTGAACAGACCAGGGCACTCACAAGTCGTCAGCATCACAGGCCGGCCACGCAAAATCGCAAAGGCTTCCAGGTCAAGCCAAGCCACGCAACATCATCACTATCGCCATCATCATCATCATCATCATCATCTTCAGCAGCATCATCATTTGCTCCCAGGTGTTTTTTGGAAAGGTTGCAAAGACCAGTCCAGCCATGCGTCATCAGCATCATTTGCTCCAAGATGTTTTTTGCAAAGAAAGGTTACCAGGCCAGCTTACGCATCACCAGTCCAGGTTTTATTTCCGAAAGCTTCCAAGACCAGGCCAGTCATGCATCATGAGCATCAGGTTCTTTCTTGAAAGCGTTCAAAGTCGAGCCAGGCCACACATCATCAGCATCATTTTCCCCATGTTTTTCTGAAAGCTTCTAAAGACCTGGCCATCCACACATCATCAGCATCAGTTGCTACAACGTGGAAATTTTTGAAAGACGAGCCAAGCCATTCGTGTTTAAAGATGAACCAAGCCACGCATTCTCAGAATCCATTGTCGCAATGTCTCTTGAGAATGCTTTCAATCATCATGCCAGCCACCGATTATCGGCGACATTTGTTGTGCCGCAATTCATTTGGAACTCTGACTCTGCTGAGCATTACATAATTCGACATTTTGTTAAGTCGATCTGCGCCTGTTCTCTGTGTGTGTGTCGGAAGCATCATTAGTTGCAACGTTTTTCTAGAACAACACCGAAAGACCAGGACAGCCACACATCATCAGCTTCGTTTGCTTTAAAGTCAGCATTGGAATGCCTTTACAGACAAGGCCAGCCGCAAGTACATAACGTTACATTACATTACATTACATTACATTACATGATTTTACATGTTATGTGGCAGTACATTCCATTACAGTATGTTTTTTCGTATACTTTGTGATCTCCTATTGGCCCCACTTATGTTTCATGATTAGGCTGCGTCCCTGGGCGCAGGCTTCCTTCCAGCGCCTGGAGTTCGAGGCTCCTTGGTTGTTACGGCTGCGGGAGCTCCGAAACCTTCGTCCAGAGGGACGGCCCGACGGGCGTGGCTGAGGTGGCCTTGTGATGATTTTGGAGGTTTAGGGTGTGTGTATTGCTCCTGGCGACGAGCCCCCGGGAGATCGACGTGATTGGGCTCCTTCTCAAATGGTGCAGACGTCCGCCTTGGGCACTACAAGGGCGGATGCTGCGGGGGTCCAGAGCTGGCTATGCTGCGCTTCAGGCGCTCCGAAGAAACGCGGCTGCTGGCCACCTTCCGGCACTCAGAGACCGACGGACCCGATGGGTCAGGCCGGTTTGGGCTGTCGGGCTTATCGGGCAAAAAATTGACCTGGTGCTCTGATTCAGCGCGTCAAAAAATACTCTGTTGTGGAGACTGCGTTTGATCCGGCGCGCACGAAGCCATCCGAAAAAGGCCGAGGGGGTGCTGGTACGAGCGCCGAATTCAAGTCCTGGGTGCCTGTATGCTTCGTAAGGCATGCCATGCGTCAGCCGATCTGTAGATGTCATACGCAGGAGGCATGCCCGACATAGCACTGCTGCTGCAAATGCGACGCAGATGAAGGGACTCTGTTTGAGGTTTCTCGTCGGAGGCCCGAGCAGGAACTGTCAACGGATTTGAGCAGGTTGCAGTTCGATGCGAGAGCCTGCACCAGATGCGGCCATGGATCGTTGCATCTGCCTTGGCTACGTTGATGTGTTTCACATCAACTTGCTACTTCTTTGCGCAGCTTGATTTGCAAACGGCTGGGGTTGGGTGACCATTTTCGGGTCAAGCTGAATGTCGCATTAAAGTGTGGCAGTGAGGTTAATAGCTAAACAAGTTAGTGAAGTCTTAGTGATCACCGAGTACACAATGGTGGTGCTGGTGGTGGTGGTAGTGGTGGTAGCAGTAGTAGTAGATGATCGTAGTCGGAGTAGGAATAGGGGCAGCACCAGCAGCAGTTGCCGTGGCTGGAAATCCGGAGCCAGTACAGCAGTGAACCCAAGAACGCCTAGGGGTGTGCACATTATAACTTCATGTTATGCCTTCCATCTTAAACTTGCAGCAAGCGAGGCTTTTGCCATGATTTCTCCGCACCGAGGATACCCGAAGAAATCAAGAAGAGCTCCACTAGCCGCGCTGGTTACTGGGGCCAACCAGATGCCGAGTTCAACTGGTGCGAGCTGGAGCCTTTGCTGTGAGAGAGGTGTCTCCACACGTGGCCTCGTCTTGCGGGGTAGATATCATGGAGTGGTGCATGTTCGTACTCGAACCTTCAAGTTTACAACCTTGGGGCCACTGGGTGAGATTTTCGGAGAGAGGACTTGTCTTGCACTCAGCTTGTAGGACTATCAGCTCGTGGAATGGATTGCGGAGCCTGTGAACACGGCTTCTTGCTTGGTCATGGTCGCTTTGCCACTGATGTTCCTTGCCACGCACGAGGCTCGCATCGAAGAGAACACTGGCAATGTCCTGAATGCTCGTATTGTGCCCGTCAAAGTATTGGTCGCATCATCTTGTATCCTTGACTTGAGTCAGTGTAGCTCAAACCTGATGTTTCCGCACGCAGGCAACCTTAGACAACACGGTCATCGGATGGCTCGAAGTCGCCATTGCTCTGGGTAGCATCCTCTTCCATGCGACGCTGAGATACCCGATGCAGCTTGCTGACGAGATCCCGATGCTGTGGCAGCATGCAACGCAAGCCAGACTGGGAGCAATTTCGGATCGAACAGGCTTTTGATTGTCTTGCAGCGCCACGAAATAGCATGCCAGGTGAGCCGTCCAAGTCTAAACTTGTCGCTTGCCGCCAGCCCCCAAAAGCCGTAGGTATGTGGCTGCCGTGGACTCCAGCTGCTTGTGGCGGCTGCGAGGCATCGATGTCTCGTATCTGACTACCGGGTGGGTGGCGCTTGTCACCGGGTCAATCCTGGACTGGGCCTTAGTGCTGGTTTTTGGCCGTTGGTGCTCGTTTGTAACGTACGATTGTCACGTCAAGATTTCTGTGGCTATCAGATTTTCAAGACCAGGGTCATGACGGTGGATCCGATGAAGACGGTGGTGATGATGGCTGTGGTTTGGTATCCATATGATTCTGCTGAGACTAGTGACTGCTGACTCGTCGTGTCTGTCACAGTAGAGATCGTAAAAGTGATTTTCACAATCGTGACAATCATTGGCATTGTGGCGGCTACAGTATTGACTTATCCCACTGCAAATGATTGCTCTGGGCAGGATTTGCACATGTTTCCTGTTCACTCAAATATGAGTGCATCAGGCCCTCGCTGGAAGATTGGTGCCGAGGGTCATTTTGTGTCTCCTGTTGGGATAAAGTGCGGTAGCCGGTAGCAACCCTACTTCATATGCCACGGCTAGTATTGATGCTGCGGTTGCTATTAGGATGGTTTCTTTGGTAGGATCTGTCTGCCATGATGATAGCGGTTCTACCGTGCATGGGCGGCTTCTGTGGTCAGTGTTATTTTCGCCAGTTGAAGACCACTGCAGATATGCAGGCTGAGAGAGATTCAGAACTGACGCAGCGGGGGGCCCTTACCGTGCCAGTCGCATCGTTCATTCTCCAAGGCTACAGAGCAGCACTCCTTCATCCATGAGACGCTGGGTCGCACAGGGCACACAAATTTGCCTTTCTTGCAAGATCCCCAACCACCTTGAAACCCTGAAACCCTGAAGCGCTAACCCCCCCCCCCCCTTCCGCACCAAGANNCCTGAAGCTTTGAACCGCGACATCAAAATCCCCTTCGACACTCCTCGCTGCGCTTCAGGATATTTCGTGGCCTCATGACCTTGTCCTTCAGCACAGGCCTTGTCGTGATAGGCGCACGGGAGAGAGAGCTCTAGTGCAGAATAGTTGGTGATAGTATCCCCTTTATGGGCATCTACCCTACAAGCTTCACTCTAACAATCAAGGCCCCTATAATCCGAAATCCTCTCTCTCTCTCTCTCT